CAAAACTTCTACGATTTTTAATGCCAATATAAACTTCATTACATTTAATTAAATTTATTGAAGGACAAAAGAAATAGACAAATCTAATGAATTATTGAATAATTTCAACAAATTCTATTTTGCTAATGAATCATCTACTAGGTGAGTAGTGCGCTCACCAAATTCAAATTCAGGTAGTTCATCATTTACAATTTCACTATTCTCTAACCGATTTTCACTGTCTAATATTCCAACCCAGTTCTTAATTACATTTGACCAATTTTCTTCTTCATCAGAAGTTTCAGCCTTATCGACTATGTCTTCTTCGATCATTTCAGTTGCTTCAGTCGTTTCGATCACTTTGGTTACTTCGGTTGCTTCGGTTACTTTACTTGGCAGATTATTAGTGGTTAGTAAACAGGTTTCGCTATCGCTTACAGTTAATTTTTTCAATTCTTGCGCAAAATCTTTATTATCGTCCTGAGATCGAACAGAAACTGCAATATGAATTCTTTTATATTGTCATTCAGATATTTCAATATTACTACATTTTCGCTTGCTTAGTATATTACCGTACAATTGGCTTATTGCTAGCACTTTTTCATACTTAAAATAAAGAATTTAAATTAATACTATATACTATAAAAAAATAAAATAAAATAAATATTTGTACATATTGGTAAACGATTTCGGCGATTCGTATGCAAAAAACCTATAGTTGACCATAACCTTTCAACCGAAGCCAAATTAATGCATATTTCAAATAATTGTAAGGCTAGACAAGACAATTCTGGTGCAACACCCTTTGCTAAATCTCAAAAATCAATAATATTTTTATCAAACTGGTTGTAAGTCTCTTTATTAAAAGGAAATGCTTTTCTCTGATATAACAAAAATTTACGTAAAATGTGTATTGGTACTTTCTCGAACCATACATAGTAATAATAATACAACTATTAACTAAAATGTGTATAGAAAAGCCAGAAATGCAAGAAGAAAACTTGAAGAGCTGATATTTCAGATGTAAAACAAATGATAGTAAGAGTAGTGGCTGTTCTCATTAAGCCTACTGATTTTCTAATTAGGTGACTATATGATTTGCAAAATTTTCATCTTTAAGGTTTAAAAACCTTAATAAGCTATCCAAAACAATATACAATCTCATACAGTTTTGCAACATCTTTCTGAAGTTTATTTAGTGTACAGCACAAAGGATATAGTAAATTCTGAAGTTCATAAAGTTGATTCCAAAAATTGGAATTTTGTATGATTGAAATAATATCAGGTGGAAGCATTTTGCTTGTATTAAAATTTTCTGTTATAAATCGTTGTCATGAAAGTCTATTTCGAGAAATACTAGCCAATCCGATTCTAGTGGATAAAAATTTTGTTGCCAATATCTAATTAAATAAAATTTTTATTAGAATTTTTTAATATTTCATAATTGGCACCAAAATTTTCTTTGTAAAAAATTTTAATTTACTATAAAATATGCTACCTTAAGCGCAGCCTTGGTTTTCAATATAGAATAAAAACAAAAGTAAATACTGTTTTAGTGTGTCTCGGCTAAGAAAATAAAAAAGATGATTTATCTATAATATAACCTTTGCTCATCTCATAGTAACCCGGTAAAATAGGAAGATGAATGAAAATAGCTTACAATGTATATTGTGTTTTTCAATATTCTTTTATATACATCAGATTTTTTGAAAATATTACCAACAACTAAGTTCATTTGATGCACTATACAAGGTATAAAACCTTATTAGGATATTCGATTCTTAGTTGTCGTCTATAGAAAAAAAGTTCATAATATTTATTAAAAAATAATCTAGATCTATAGATAAATATAAGTACATTAATATATATTTAAACGTACCTTGCTACCACATACTCACCAGCTGAATCTGATATATAGCAGTTAATTCGAATGCTTTCTTTTTCTGCATTATCCATTATACTTTTAATAAGAATTTTTATATTTTCAGTTTTTAACCATTGATTACTGATATTACATGTATTCCAAATTAAAGATATACTCTGAGAAGTAATTAAGACAACACCAAAAAGATGCTCCTGCTTTATGTTTGTCCAACTATCGAAAACTGCAGTTATACCAACCCTATCTGCACATGCACGTTCTAAAATATCTTCATTTAATTTCGTTGAAACCTTTAGAAGAATTCGATTACTTATCATCTGCCGATTAGATAGTTTTATAGTTGGTATTATAAAATTAAAAAATCTTTTGTTTCTTGGTTTTCTATAAAAGTAAAAGAAAGACTATT